CCAATCACGATTTGGGGCAATCTGACCCACTCCTTTTGCAGTGCCACGGCCAATTCTTGCAGTGCATTAAATTAAACGTAACACACTGAAGCAATACAGTAAATCTTATGCAAGAACCGATAGGAAAGCAAACATGGATAGGATAAACAAGCAAGCGGCAGTTTTCAACAACCCTTCCTTGAAGTGTCAAATTTGACAATGAACCCCTCCCACGTGTATGGCGCTATTGCGTGTTGCACATGCAGCTCCGTGGTTCTGTTGGGGCGATAAGTTCTTCATCTGTGAACATACTCTCAAAGCATGTCAAGTGTCCATGACTATTTATCATATCACAACCTGCATAGGTATTTGCATTTCAATATCCACTATTGTGGCATAATAGGGTTTATAGTAAAAATGGCTGTACCAACCGAGCTAAGGATGGTGAGCATGGTAGGGAAATTTGGTTTTAATTTAACATTAATATCGTATCGCTTATATGTAGTATAAAGTATAGCTATTAAAAGAAAAGGACTCGACCGAGATGGGGAAAAATAGGGTTTAACGTGATAATTCGCTGCACCAACCAGGTTAATGAAGACGGTATGAATGAATGAAATGAAATGGGGTTTAACGTCCTACAGTTCTGCTCCTAACCTGGGCTAATGAAGACGGGCATACGCCATACAGTGTGCTATGAGGGAAATTTTGCCCGGGCAGCGGCACTATCGCCTACTCTTATACCGAATTCCAATTGTCAGCGCCTTACCCACCTAGCCACGTGGTCCCCTAATGAAGACGGGGAAATGAAATGTGGTTTAACGTCCTACTATTCTACTCCTACTGTGTTAATGAAGACGGGCATACGCCATGCAATGTGATATGAGACACATTTTGCCCGGACAGCTCATATTTCGAATTCCAACTGTGTACAAGGGATCTCTGGTTTTCGTACAATCCGAACGACTATACGCTGTCCCGTCCTACCCCCCAGACAAGGTGAAAACACGCCGGAAAATCTAGATAAACTTTCTCGGCCAATGCAGGGATCGAACACCCGACCTCCAGGCTAGCGGGCCAGCGTCTTACCCCGACCGAAATGGACTCAACTGAGGAAAATGAAATGAAAGAGGGTATAAGGTCTAATATTCCGCGCCTACCGGGGTAATGAGGACGCATTGTCTCCATTACGGTTGTATGAGGGACGTTTATCCAATTGCCAATTGATGTTTTGTTGGGGGGGGGGGTAAGTGCACGGGGGGCGGGGGCGGGGGCATGCTGGAAAATCCCGAGCAAGTCTATCGTCTAACACCGCAGTGGATCTGGGGACCTCCAGGTTAGTAAGCTAGCTTGTTTATTCACCGAGCCATCGTGGCTTCTCAAATTAGATCAAATTTCTACATATAAAATGTGTGTTTTACAAATATTAATACGACTTTTTATGAAATTTATTTATTTACATCCCGTGGTTTCCCCTTGTCAGTGGTGCAGGACGGAGGGCCTGACAAGGTCACCGAGGTCCCGTGTAAACATTGGAATGCACGTAAAAGATCCCTTGGCAGTTGGAATTCGATATAAGAGTAGGCGATAGTGCCGCTGCCCGGGCAAAATTTCTCTCATAGCACACTGTATGATGTATGCCCGTCTTCATTAGCCCAGTATAGGAGCAGAACAGTGAACGTTAAACCCCATTTCATTTCATTTCATTTTTATTTACATCCGTGGTAATTTGAACCCCATTTCTCTATATATATACAAATTCCCATACTCACTAGTCTTATAAACAAAACAGATGATGTTTGTTGTTTGCTCACTGTGCAATGTTTAAAAAAAACTCTGAAAGTGAGAAATGACAGATCATAATAGAGAGAGAAATGTGGTTTAGCGTCCACTCGACACCAACTAATTTGACTGCACTAAGAAGGTGTAAACGACTGTCGTTCAATTTGAACTGTTCACGTATTTCACCAAACATATATGTAATTGATAAAAAAAATTGCAATGGTTTTTTTTTTCAAAATTTGAATATAAATCACTTTACATACATTCATATTACATTAATGATGTGCTTTTATAACCATTTTTGTCTATTTCAAGGCTCCAAAAAACAGAGCCATATGCTCTTTAATTAAAGCCTGAAAACATTTGTCGACGCTGATTTTTGTCGTAGCTCTAGCAAGACGGTGCTACCAAGTCTCTGTCTATGCCTAGTAAGATGTATTATGATCTGGGGGTGCGTGGGTGGGAGGGGAAGGCAGAATGGTTAGCACGCGTGCGCTGTATAATGAGGCCTGTCATACGCGACAAGGAGTAGGGTCGCCTGTCCAACCTCGTGGGTTTTCTCCGGGTCCTCCGGTTTCCTCCAACTGCCAAAGACCCCTACGCGCAAGCGAATTATTGAAATAAAATTGAACCATGTGATAGTCCCGAAATGACTACCCTCTCTCTCTCTCTCTCTCTCTCTCTCTCTCGCGCGCGCGCTATAATACATTATATGTGACGAGTGCTTTTACCAACATCATAATACTGTAATCAACAGAATTATAATTTTATCAAAATTGCAGACAGAGGGAGAAATGGGGTTTAACGTTCCTTCGAACAAACTAGGTCATTTCGGGACTAACATGGTTTTATTTTATTTTATTAATTCGCTTGCGCGTAGGGATCTTTAGCAGTGGGACGAACCTGGAGGACCCGGATAGGCGATCGTACTCCTTGTCACGTACAGGCGGGGAATCGAAACCACGTCAATTAACTCAATGACAGACCTTATGATGCAACTCTCACGTGTTAGCCATTCGGCCTCCCAACCCCTCTTCGGGACTTATAATTAGATATGTTTTGAAAATATCCCTTTGGTTTCCCACATACTCTGATTTTTATAATCAAGAATACTCACGAACATTTAAAATTCGTATATATTTTTATAATATCATAAACAACTCATTATTATTCAGTTTTGTTAGCAAGTTATTTTAGAAAGCTAAAGAAACGCGTCTATTTTGAATTCTTATTTATGTTATTTAAGTATGTTATTTAAGAAGTCGAAAGATGACACTTCTGATATTTTAATTACTAATATTTTAGCAACACGGTGGCTTCCGCAATAAATTATAAGCTAAATGGTGCATCACGACTTGTTTGGTTTTAATTCGTGATATTGCATTTAACCCCCCGCAAAAAAAAAAAATATAGAAATCGGATGGTGGTCGGAAGAAAATGAACAGTTCATACATTTAAGAATATTAGTATCCTACGGAAGACCATTTAAACTTGATTGTATAGACTGCTACACATGTCTGGACAATTAAAACTTTTGAAAAGATTTCGCGGAATTGTCTTCGTATTCGTGATCTTCTCTTGCTAATGTTTAATTTCCTAAGGCGAGCAAGGCTACATCAGCGACGCCGGGTCTTGCATCTTCGGCATCTTGCCATTCAGCGTCCGGCACGTTTTCATCGGCACCAGAAGACGGGCATACGCCATACAGTGTGTTTTGAGGAAAATTTTGCCCGGACAGCCGCGGTATGGTCTACTCTTATATCGAATTCCAACTGCCAGGGAATCTTTTATGTTTCTCGTATCCATCCGAACGACTAGACAGTTGTCCTTCTCAGGACCTCCGTTCTGTACAACACCACTGAAACCAACCCGGAAAATTCTCGGCCGCGACCTCCAGGCTAGCGAGCGAGTATCTTACCCACTTAGCCACTGCGGCTCCCTTAATGGCCATGAGACGAGGGAGCCTATCGATTTTCAACGATTTACCTTAATTACTACCAGAGTTATGGCCCTTGATATTAAATGTTAGTATAGGGCAGAACTCGTAATCAGAATTTAGTGTGTTGTAAATGTTTTTACCTGACAAAAATAAATAAATATCATCACCATCATCATTATCGTCATGGTGATCTCCAGGTTGAGATTCATCAGCCTGCGCCCGTGGCTGAGCCCCTGCTATCACCACTGTGTCTACCACGTGAAGAGGATTGTGAATTGGCCTAGTTCCCAATATCTTTCCAGTATATCCCACTCCCCGTCATTAAAAATATTTCGACAAGAGGTGCCAGATTTTGTTGTCGGGTTTTTTTTTTGTTTAAGGCTTTTTTTGTTTAAGGCTTTTCAGCTTATTCCGGCGCTGATCGACCGTCCTCTGGAAGATCAGCCAGCCTTGCGATGCGAGGCCTGCAGCCGCACCTCTACATCGTCAGCTCTCAAAATCCGTATCTAGGTTGTTTGCCATTCCCTCCAAGCGATAAAACGGAAGTACAAGTGAACATGCGCGCAAAGTTATTCGGTTCCGGTAAACCCGTTGATCTCAATCAAACGTTCCAAACTCAAATCTTGGCTGCGAATAAACCGACTGTTGTTCCAGATTAAATTCAGAAAAATAATCGGACTCCTTATTTCAGATACAATTCGATTTTTAACGAATTGAATGTGACACCTAAATCCGGAATAAGACTTTATTCTGAATTCAATTGAGATTAAACCCCTAGTGTGAACGCACCTTCAGTTAATTTAACGATCTGTTAAACTCTAATGGGTCGTTATCTTGCAGACGTGTCATTTGTTTACGGTCCGTTAAATATCTGTTCCTGGAAAGTCAATTTCATCATCCGTTAGCTAACGGACTGGTTATGGTTCATCCAAAAGAGAGAGAGAGAGGGAGATGGGATTTAACTAGGTCATTTCGGGTGCGAGAGGGGGAGGTGGTAACGTCCACTCGACACAAATTGGTCATTTCGGGACTAACGAAATTTTATTTCAATTACTCGCTTGCGCTTAGGGGTCTTTAGCAGTGAGAAGAAACCGAAGGAGCCGGAGAAAACCCACGAGGATGGACAGGCAACACTACTCCTCGTCACGTTCAAGCAGGGGATCAAAACCAGGTCACTTGACTTAATGACAGACCTTATGATGCAACGTACACGCGTTAACCATTCGCTCCCCTCCCCACCCCTATGAAGGTTGTGAGTCCGGGGTCCTCACCTAGGAAACGAATAACGAATAAGATAATGTCATTATCAGAGAAGAATTTATTGGAACCATTAAAATAGAGATAGTGATACAAAGCCAACGCGAAGAAAAATTCATTATGAAACATCAATCGATAAACAAGGCACCACAAAATTTCAAAATATCTTATACTAGAGCTAGAATTACTTAAAATTTTAATGAAATCGAACTAGAATTTAAAACACCATCAAAAAGAAGATCTATGATAGAAAATTCCAAAATCACACGAAAGAAAACAAATTTGAACAATGAACGATTTAAATTGACGAAAACGGCAAAACAATTCATAGACTTTTAAAGATTTGTAGGCATTTAAACGGTTGGTTACACGGCTTACATAGCTACAAATACGATTTTAAAAGTAAATCTGATTTAAAGTGACAGTTGGTCTTTACTAATTTTTAAACAAGTCAGAACTTTAGTTACGTTTAAACAATAAGTTCTAATTTAATAAAAGGTTAAATTTGTGCGTCTTTATAATTTACTACCAAAATAAATTAGAAAATTCTAAAATGTAAACTTCCAAAAACAATGCATTAATTGTTATCAAAAAAATTTAATCAATTATGGTCGACCTTGATTGCATTGAATCCGAATTTTCATTTGTCAGAAATTACATGTGTTCAACATGTAATCGTGACAAAGTCTGCTGAAATCTACATTACTTTGAGACTACGATATTCTCACGGTTTAGAACTTGTTATTTTTTAGGCAGATTCCTGAATCTGAACTACATATTCGAATTTATCCATCGGATTTGGATATATTGCAATCAAAGCAGACCCAGCTAAATTATGGACCGTTTTATAATCTATAACTGTCTCTTTTATCATAAACATAGATATATATATATACTTTAATTGAAATAAGATCTGAAAAATGTATAAAATAAGAGATGCTAGGGAGCAGAACGCATCTAACTCATTTTAACTGACGTAATGGTGTTTCCACGTCATTGGTTTATGTGCTCTTACAGCACTGCCACTCGTAATTTCGTCCAATCAGACCCTTCCTAATACATGGGCTATTAATTATTAGACGAGTAAGTGCGCTTCTGGTACCTAAACAAATTTCAATGCACATTGAACTAACATCTGTATTAAGTTTCCAATCATCCAAAACATCCCCAGTCTTCACGAGATTAGTAACCGATGGAATATATAAACAGTCTGGGTGAACGAAACTACCCTGCTACGCGACAATGTTTAGTGACGGCATTAACTTCTGTACCGATGTGAACGTTTCTCTGCTCATGACGTCACTTAATTTTAGACCGAGTTATCTACTCCTTGATCCTCTTTTATGCATTGAATGGGATCTAAGGGCGGATAACTAGGTCTACCTTTTCTATGCTGATGTAGCAGCATTTGTTCCCAACACGCCATATCTTATACACGACCAGCGTATACAATGAAATAACGTAAAGGAGCGGTTTCTGACACTTTTTAAAATTCCAAAAACTTTCCGAGATCGTATCAATTCAAATCTTAATTTTGACAACAATAGTTATGAACACTTTAATGTTATTTAACTCTACATGATATATTTGCGACCAGCGCAGCTTAAAATTAACAAAATAATTATATAATGCAACATAAAATTAAGGATATAGATATGAACTATTGATTACTAATGAACAAAATGCAAGATAAATGATTATGACAATAGAATTATGACTAATAGATATATATGCAATGCTGAAACGTTGTCTTGTGAGGAGACAGACTTCGGATATTTTGTAAGTTTCTGAAGTATTAGAACACTAGTGGGTAATGATTTTAGAACTCTTATAACTAATTTTGATGAAATTTAAAAAGAAATCGCAACTTTCTTTGTTATCGACCAGCGATAGCCTTGAAATTGCTGATTTCTCCAAAAATTTGAGTTGTCTAAATTTAATACATAAAAAACATGCTAAACTGGGAAAAGATGGCCAATTTAGATCTTTTATAAACAAAGATATATTGAAATAGCAGTTGCCATAGTTTCGTATTAAACAAATCAACAATATAATAAATTTGATTATCATAATATATGTAAGTATATAAAGCTATCTGTATGAACTAAGCACAAAAATAAAGAAGAAATGGTCAGCCACGACGCAAAATGATAATATTCCGTCACTTCCTCATAAGGCACATAATGACGTCATTAAGATGATAGCTAACTCTAATAATACTTCCATCGCTCAAAGCTGACTTGATCAACAAGTCCTCCTGTTTAATAATAGTCCTGATCAACAGGAATCCATATATTATAAAAATAGATTCACAAGTTACGTAGTAAGCAAGTTTCCGTGATTTTTTTTCTTCACTGACCAGCAGTTTGTTTCCTTAGTAACTTCGTTATATAAACGTTTATATTAAACCACAAAGAGAGGGAATAGGATCGACCGGCGAACCTATTAATGTTCAACTGTCCAGCAGCTATAAAGTTTTTGGCATTTTAACCAATGAATAATGATAAAACACTAAGAGCTGTCCAGCAGCATGCCAAAGGACTCATCCAATGACTGTTTAGCTAACAATGGCAATATGCCATACTGGGAACATCTGTAAGTGGAGCTTACACAAAATTTTCCTACTGGGGGTCTTTTAAAAGGTTTCGCGAACCTGAAATAGAAGAAAATATTAATATTAGCAGAGAACATGTGACATATGCGAAACATTTTAAAGTGAAGTTAAATTAGCACTAAACGGACTAAGTGAGTAACGTTATATTAATGCATCTCTTCTGGTGCTGGGGGTCCGTGTGTAACGTTATCTGTGTCTTGGGGTCTAGAAGACACTGGTGTACTAGTTCAAAACATGGTTAACTTTACTCCGGCTTACTACAGTATAAAATAAATACTAACCTGAATTTGGTACAAGTGAACTGAGGAGCCTTTGGAGTTGTAACAACTCGGTTTCGTTTGTTTCTGGTTGGAAGTGAGATTGCTGCAGAGCCTCGAATTCATCTTTAACTTCAGCTACATCAACGGTGAGTGACATCTCAACTGGTGTACTATTAAATTCGTCTATTAATTCTTCTTCTGATAATTCAGATGCGTAGCTTGGGCCAGGTGAGAATTCCTCGTGTACTGATGATACAGGAGAAGGCACACTATGAAGAGGACTTTGGGATGACTGCATAGTTGTTGGCGTTGGATAGAAAGGTCTGAAACATGGCGTCATTGACACCATGTTCTGTTCCACCGGTTCTTGTTTAACAGCCGCCTGTGCGCTAGCTGTTTTTTTCAACTGTTCCTCGACATCATCAATGATGTTGAAGAAAGCCTCCAGATAAGATGAATCAATTACAGGAAGCAAGTCTTTTGATTTCACTGGTTTACTTTTTGCTTTAATCACCGGTTTAACTTCAGGGTATTCACGCTTCATATGTGGGGTCAACTTATCAAAAAATGACTCAATATCCAACGAATCCATTAAAGGCAGTTCCTTTCTCTTCCTCTTCATTCCAGTTTTTTCTGCTAAGCTTCTCTCCTCTCTTATCTTCTGGACCTGTTGAAACTGTTCAATCTTTGACAAATCATCCAGCAATTCGAAAGAGCTATCTAAGCCAGTTGTTTGTTCGCTGGAAGATTTGTGTTCCGGACTTGACGCCGGCGAAGGCTCAGGTGTCAAGTAGGAATCAGGAACAATACACCCAGAATCAGGAACAACCTGCTCCAAGAGATTTGGACTCAAACATGCCGAGTGTCTCAGCATGGATGGTTCAACAATAACGCCCTTCTTCTGCATAGTGGGTTCTGATGACACTGAGTAGTTACTGACTGACATCACCTGGGTAGGTGCATGCCAGAGAGATTCCAACGAAAGCGATGTGTCACAGAAAGATTCGAAAGAGCCGAAGTAAGAGTTTGTTGTAGGGCGGAGTCCAAAATCTCCTTGGTAACCGGCAGGTTTATCAGTGCGATCTGTGGAGGAGACTCTAGGAATCTTGGCAGGCTTGCATCCAGTGAGTTTCTTCTGCAGCATTTGCTTAACCTTCTCAGTTTGGAGTGACGCAGATTTGTTTCGTTGTTCAGTGCAACCTCGTCTTAGGTACTGTGGTTGAGATAAATGATCCTGGAATCCAGGTGGTGATTGTCGCATGGTTGGATACTGTCCATAGTTTGGAGAGTTGGGAATCCACTGATTAGTTTGGTGTGTTGATTGCAGATTACCAACTCCCGAACTCCACATGTTATCACTCCTCAATGGGTAAATACTGAACGTGTTGCTCTGTATTTTAAATTGATAGGCTTCCTGCTCACTGAAGAAAAAATAAAATATAATTAAACTTTTCCATATATCTATATGTCAGATTTTCTTTTTTATCAGATATGGCTTAGGGACTTTTGAGTATGTATAATCACTTTTACTTAGACAGCAGTAACGATAACGGATTAATTGCTTAAATATGAAATTTATAACAATATAAATTATTAGAAGATTGATATATTTATACGTCAATTCATTATATTTTTAAGATCTGCTTACCTAATGACCTGGTTAATACACACTATAACGGGCTCGTCGTTTGAGACTACCGCAGCTTGTCTCACGTGCATAACCATATTTATCCATATTACAGAACCATTAGCTCTGAGCATGCGTACTGTCACCATACACCCCATTTCATGACTGGATCTGATCACTGTAAAATTAGAAAAATTTGAATATTAATAGGAATTCGATAATGGCGAGAAAAACAACAAATTAAATATATCTGGCCTTACAAATGACGAAACACAGAAACGCGATAACGAATGTTTTCAATAAAGTCTTATCCAAGAAACATGACTTTGAAAAAACTTACAACTGGTCAAGAAACTTAAAGTTGCATTATGCAAGAGCTAAATCTGCATATTGACGGTCTTTCTGTCGACTTCAAATAAATTCCACATTTATTAACAAGACAAGCATTTAATAATCAACTCTCTAGACGATCGGATGGCAGAGATTTAAATGGATTTAAACACCGGCGACATTTAAAAATTTACGAAGAAATGAATAATTGAGACTTAGTCTCGGATGTCAAGTACCGTTAAACTATCTCCGGTACATTTTCAAACAGTCATAACTTCGCCCAGAATGAAATAATTTTAATTTTTAATATATTCATTCTTTATTATCTATTTTTAAACTATTATAACAAGAACAGCCCACTCTTTATCTAAACCATACATAATGCATCTTTAAAACAAAAAACAACTTTGTTCATATATGGGGTTAAATTCTAATCACTTTGAAAGGGTAGCCAAAAAGAGTCTTACATTGTACATGTTTCTCCCTAGCAACATGAATATCTTCAGGGTGTAATAATGTGTACCATGACTTCCGACTAATCTCGTTATTTGTGTATCCAAGATGATGCTCCGCTCTAAAAAAGAAGAAACATCAAACAATAAGAATAATTTCATTAAATTTTACATTTTTAAAACAAAATCAACAGAGGTATAGACGTAGACAGATACGTAGACAGGCGTAACCGCGTAACGTCTCTTTAAAAAAGGAATAATAGTAGAAATTCGGCAGTTGTGCTGTATTGCGATACAGCATTATACTCGTCCAGACACTGCCATGTGTAATAAGGACACAGACCACCAATAATTCTTCTCCATTGGTTACACATGACTTTATACCTTCTCTCTCTCTTTCTCGTTTTTCCCTTTTCTAGGGAGATTTTTCGGTGTGGAATAGAAGAAAGCTTTTTGGTGAATATTGATTATTTTCAGGCAGAAATTAACAATATTGATCATTTTGAGGCAGAAATTAACAAGTTGGTTAAGTTGAAATGTAGGCGAATAGTTGCACGTTTGCTAGAATGCTACTTCCATTTTGTGTATCTAAAGCTATCCAAGGTGAACCCTTTTGAGAAAAGCCTTCAAACCAACGAAAATTTGAGAAACGATTATAGAGAGTAGAATCGAAAGGTCAATGAGCAAATCTCTGACCATCCTATCCCTTGATCAAGAACCCCATATTAACAGTTGAGTTCGTCGGTCCACTGTTCTATTGTTTAAAAACCTATATATAGTACGGTCTGTCTTGAACTATGTGGCAGAATGATTTCATCTAACTATACTAATATTTGTGACTGGCGGCTACACTAGGTCTTCCCGAGGCTGAAATTTGGTGTATAGGGGTAGCTCGGACCGTTGGACTACCGATTTCTGTTTCGGAGTTATACCACATTCAAACCGTACAGCGCCAGGTCAACGTAGTTCAGCGGTGTGTTGTGGTTTGATTGATGGTTGTATAATAGACAATAATACTGACAGGATGAATCCATCATATACACCTACTTTACATTACACTCTAAAAACACAACACTCGGAAATTCGGATATGTTGTTACGTAATTAACATTATATAGTTACGGATTTATTAGAATATTTTGCAATGGAAGTCTAATCTGTTGACATTTTGTCTCACTCATTTGTATAACTATTTTTTGAATCGGAGTATTTTTCACATTGAATAAACTAACGTGTTTTACAGTGTAGGACAATCCTTGTTCTATTCTTAAAGGCTATTGTATATTGACCGGAATATATTGAATAATTAATACAGTGAAGTCCGGATTGTAAAACATTCGATATTTGCTTAAAGCCTATGCAATGAATACATTTTATTGAATTCTGATAAAGTGGCGCTTTGCACCCAACACAATCATTACCCATGTTATTGATTAAATAATGGCTTGATGAAAAATGTAGAGTAGATAATATCATGTAGAAAAATTGTCGCGCGATCTTTGTCTTTTGTTCATTGCGTTTGATCTCTAGTTTGGTCTGTGTCTGGTATGATAAACATCAACCAAACAACATGAAGTATCCATTTTTTAATAACCTTCCTTTTGAAAAAAAAAACTCAATTTATTTTCATTTACGATATTAAACGAATATTTAGCATCTATATCCACTGTAACAGACATGAAAGATTTGTAACTTTAATAACCTTTTTTAAAAAAAAATCTCAGGTCAATGTATATAAAAGAATATTTAGCATCTATATCCACTATAACATCCATGAATACATTACCCGAATTTTCATAACTGTCTGTTAACTTTGCATATTATTAACGAAATATTAAATATATTTAATATCTAATGGAACAGGTAATTTAGATAATATAATACCGTTTGATGTTTATCTAATCATAGATTTTTATCCCTTATTTTTAATCTCTTAAGACAGGACATATTCCAAACAAATTAGCTCATGTTATTCCACACATACGAAAAGATGAACGATGTTATTCTAAAAACTATCGACCATATCCTTATTAAAGTTGCGTTATGTAAGAATTAGATAAACAGCCGACCGTTCTTACTATAATAGTTCAAAAATAGATAATGTAAAATGAATACATGTATATTACATTATTCTTTTCAGAGCGAAGTTATCCCGATTTGAGGTATTCACAGCATAGTCTTGATTGTGAAGTACCATCGTTACAATAAGAGTTGATTACGGTCTTGGCAAGTTAATTAATGTCTAATTCATAATTTATATAACATTTGTGGCCAAAAGAAAGACCTACAATAGGCAGATTTAGCTCTTGCATAACGCATGTTTAAATAGTGATTCTAAATTAAACGTATAATTTATTAATACTCAATCTATTTATATTAAAAACATAACCTATATCCCTTTTAATTTCAGATAAAACTGAAAATAAATGAACGCCTGATTAAAATTATAACACTGTATTGCACTTTGACTTTAGATAAAACTAAAGTTGGGTCATTGATCCGACAGATAAACCTTAATGGTGAATCGTTCAATATGACATGAAATAACTATTCCACAATTCTAAATATAACCATTCACACACTGTTATCTGACCATCGGTCTATCATCTGTTTATTTTAAGGCACTGTAAATCTCAGTGATGATGCAAATAAAAACATATTTAAGGTGATTATATAAAACAAACAAGACTTTATGACAACAAATAAATTGTCTTCTGAATTGACTGAAAGCGTCCTATTAAATACTTGCTATCGTAAATTAACAAATCATAGTGGTGGGGTAGAATGCCTTCAACTATTATTATTTTACAGTACTGTAGCCATTTTGTTTTTGTATCAGATCATTAAAATTGTCATGGTATATCTGATATTTTATGAATAAATGTTATTTATACCAATATATTTCCTTTCTAATTTGAACTCTAATCACCATTTAGCTTGAAATAAAACTAAAAGTGAATCATATAGACCTAAACTAAATACAGAAAAATCCCAAACTTTAAGTGATTGATCTCTTTAAGTTCAGATAAAACAGAAAGAGCTTCGCTGATCCGAATTAAATTGATTGTATTTCTCTTTAACTTAAGAGATAAAATGGAAAATAAATCGTACTTTATATAAATGTATATAATATGAGGTTAATGCTGCGGTTATATTATCAGATAAAAGTAAAGTACATTTAATCTAGGTGGTGCGTGTAATTATTATTGTTATTCACAGTACAACCAACCGTAAAGGTAATTATCATTTTACCCTTTTCATTGACGTGGGTTCAGCACCTTCGCGGCTGTATTAAAATTGATTATGTGGGAAGGTGCTACAAATAATTATCATCCCAAATTGATTTACAACATGCGCGATTCTTATCTATAACTATATTGGCTATAACTATCTGGCCCTTTTTGTTTTGTTGTGTTGCTCTCTATTAACAGAAATGAAATTCTTATCTAAATGGAACAATAACCGATCTATATATGAAAGTCGGCCTTTTAATCGAAATGAGATTTCACACGTGAAACGCAACGTGATTAAAACCATCACATCAGATTCCACTGGTGTACAGTTTCAGAATTATTAACAGATAATAGGAAATCTAAGTTAATCCGGAGAAGCTGTGAATAGTAAAATCTGATTGGTTCGATTTCAGATTAATGGTAATTGTAGATCAAAACGTCTTTTACATTTAGACTAATTGTTAAATAAAATTAATTAGCTTCGATTTATATATATTTTATATTCGCTCTTTTATATTAATCACGTACAATCTAAGTTTATTTCCGTCACATAGGATATTTAATATGGTGGGATTGTGTTGAAAACGTAAAACACAGGTTCTAGTGATACTACAAGTTGATTATTGGTGCTGTTAAAGGTATTAACGCTGATTTTTAATAATACAAGTATTGATCACCTAGCCTATTTTATATATAGACCGATGGTTATCTACATTTATTGGGATGACTAAAAACCATTAGTGATATCAGGTTACTTGTAAAATAAAACTATCAAAGTTACATTTAGATCCCATTGTCTCCCTTGTGGAATAGGTTCACACCTACACAGATATTGATGACGTTTTACGTCATAATATAAGCAAATCATAATAACGTTTGATCTTGAGCTCCGGGGTTTATGTACCCACTAAAACTGTGCCCTCTGACGTTTAAAGACCATAAAAATAAATGTCTCATTCGACGATTTTCAATATATTTTTCATGAGTTTAGTTCACAAGACAATGTCCTAATGGTACGATTACATCACACTAAATAACTCCTACGATTGTATTTCTTTAATTTAAATTACCGTCCATTCCCACCCGGAAACAGTCTGCATCCAAAAATAACATAAATCATTACATCTTAGGCAGATTACATCGTTGTCGTGTCCCATTATTCCATATTAAACTATATTAGGGATCTGCACATCATGATTCTTATGTCCTGGTCCAATACCATTAATCACACTATCAATTTCGAGCAAATCAAAGCCTTTAAAGTAATGCCGATTGGATGAGTTTTTTGAAGTGAATATTCACTGGTAGCTTATTATACTTAAAATAGATTGTAATTGGGTTTTCAGAATTAATACTGTCCATGTTCAAATCTTGAGGTTTTTTTAGATAATGTCGATAATCGCTGTGACACTCTGCCAATATATAATCACGAATCTGGAAAAGTACATGTATATAGAGGAACCCGTAGTTTCGTACATGATTCAAATTTTACAGACTAAGAAAGAAACTAGAGGTCATGTAGCTTTTCCAGCTCCTCCTTGCCTCTACCATCATTCGTCAGTTTTTGGAAATAACTCCGCCTAGGTTATAAAGTCTTGGATAAAACCTTGAAAGTTACTTACGTTTCAGTGATCTCCATGAAGCTCATGTCCAGTTGGTGGACTGTTTTAAAGATCATAGTGTTGTTTTGTACCAAATTTTCTTTTAGTTCCGGTGTGATCAAAGGGGTACAGGTGGCCATAAAAACATACTGTTGGTCGCTTCCAGTTTCACTTCCGGGCACGGAGGTAAAATGTCCACGAACGTGCATTACCTGAAAAAATTATATTTGTCTAGTAAATAAAGAATTTTGTAAATGATGTGGAAAAGGATATATTCCAGTGGCTGACATCTTTTTACGCTTTTAATTTCGTGTCATTGCTCTGACTGAGCGAGCCCCAGGAAACTTCCATTTTTGTTCTGTACTTATACATGGACGACTAATCTAATTCTAATACAAAATACTGACTGCCTTAAAATCGAAACTTTTGACCAAATTAGGGTGTCAAGAGATAGGTAGTTGTAATAAAATGTCAAAAGATAGGCAGTTTCAATAAAATGATATATTACGTATAATATAAACAGCAAGAAATAGGTGTATACAATTATTATTGTTCATTTGATCTTAGAATTTAATATTATCCCCATTACTAAGCAAAGATAACGATAACATCATACTCGTTAAAATGGTGCTGAAAAAACTTTGCCCGTGTCATATAGTAGGTATTATTATTATTTGCGTCATACATATTAAATTCTAGTCCTCCATATTTTCCGAGTGGGATCAGACCACTAAATACCAACATACAGGTATGAATTCTTAACAAAAATGATATATTACGTATAATATAAACAGCAAGAAATAGGTGTATACAATTATTATTGTTCATTTGATCTTAGCATGTAATATTATCCCCATTACTAAGCAAAGATAACGATAACATCATACTCGTTAAAATGGTGCTGAAAAAACTTTGCCCGTGTCATATAGTAGGTATTATTATTATTTGCGTCATACGTATTAAATTCTAGCCCTCCATATTTTCCGAGTGGGATCAGACCACTAAATACCAACATAAAGGTATGAATTCTTAACAAAATAAATACTATTTGGAAATTTAAGCCACTAAAACCAATCGGCCTATATAATTACAATTTATTTCGTTTCGTTTTTCAAAGTTCAAAATTTCAATTTACTTGTCTTCACTACACTAGGTGTGTAGAGGCCATCAATGTATAAAAACGAAACGAAGTATCAGATTGATATACTTACTCATAACAAATAGACTTTTCTGTCATTAATTAGTTAAAATACGTAGCTCAATTTATTTACTTTATACTATTTCCCTAAATTACGAATTTCAAACATAATCAAATTGTAAGTTCGGTTTAAAGCTTTCACTGTTGTTTTTCTCGATCGAATTAACTTGTATAACATCTATTTCACAATTCTAAATAATTGAATTTTATATCATCAATCAGTGGAATCATAAGGGTACATTAGGCCCATTCTTGATATACATGATAATAATACACACGTAATTCCCCAAGCATACAAGAACAATTACATTGATTTCTCAGTAATGAACCTAGTAAAAATATTTGTACAAATTCTAAATCCTTTGCTAGAACGTCTCTATTTGTTACGAATATATCACGAAAAATATTTGTACATGGCTTTATTATTGACACAAAAACACGTTTTTCATTAGAATAATAATGATTCAAGACCAAATAAATGTACGTTTTACTTTAGTTTCAATGCATAATTCATTTTAATTCATGTCTATAAAGAGGAATCGACAGGGGGCTATTCATATCGTTTTAGGTTTAATTATTTCTTTGTAGGGAAATACTAGCTGGGTGTGTAGAAATCGGTGAGATCGGAAGTCCACTAATTGTGTTAGGATTAATTTGAAATTTGAGTGAATAAACTAATAAATATGATGGTAAATCCACGTGTAAATCAAAGCCTATTACAACTTCGATTAGTTACTCGCTCAATCAGCCAATTACAGAAACTGACTCTACATCGGACTCTACAATGACTAGTCAATGACAGAGATAACATGTATTCCAACCTTTTTAGATTTGCTCTATCGGTAAGAATTCGAAACGAATGCCCCTCGCAAATGAATATTTACGGTCTATATTTTTTGTAGCTCCATTTTTACGAATTTTTCGAAAATATCGAAATTAATGGCAAAGTTTTTATAAATACTTAAAAGAAAAATACAGAAACGTTAATTACGTGAAGCTTCAAGAGAAATAGAGCTAGTATAGAGCTTTTTATTACAAAATAGAATTAGTTGACTGAACCTCCCTCAATTACATTACGTTCATATGTACGATTAAACACAGATATAAAAGCTAGAGTAATGTTTCTGTTTGTACTTTAATCTATCAGTGGGGCTTGGCCCATTGAATGGCATCAAAGCTACAGAATATCCATTCATACACTCTGTTTATTTAACTTTATTCCCAAAGGAGAAAGAAAATAAATCGCTTGCAGAAAAAAAGTTATTAAATAGAGCAGCCATTATCGTTTTCAATTCGTAATTGAAACATTAGATTATATTACAAGTTCTAATATCTATTTATCAACATGGTATTTATTCGTATCCATGACAACAGGGTTTCGTCACGTGACATGAAACCGCAAGCAGCCATATAAAATATCATTTTATTTCCAACTTAAATTCAGGTTTCCAATATCAAATTTCTGAAAACATAGAATATTGGCGCCTAACTTATTTTTGTGTTAAATTTATACATCTTTATTTTTATAATCACAGACATGATTGGCCTATTAATAAGAATCCAACTGGTTTTGAGTAGCTGTGTATGGAAAGCAACATTCGCCAAAAGTATAAATCGTTTCATTTTTGTTTTGACAACACAGATCACTAGTTATCCGTACCTTTACATCGCCAAAACCAGCTTGGCGTTTTAAACTTCTCGACATGTTCATTCTGCAGAAGAAAGCGACATCTTGTGAACTTGTGACGTCACCTCCTTGTAACTGTGTCTGCACGGCCACGTGATCCCTTTTATCAACAATATCGTATAAACTATCCCCTTGTGTTTTCATATCCACCTGAAAATAAGAATTATGTCATTTGATTGAGAAATACATCAATTTAATGACAGAATAATCCAAAACCATTTACTGTCAGTACGCAAATGGGTTTTTCATTGGAAATGAATTGCACTGGATAATCAGACTTTAGAATATATATATTTGAATGATTGACCACCTTTTATTAAATTTCTGGCCATATGTTGAGCTATGGTATTATATAGATTGACACTTCTTTTGCCATACTTAAAATTAACTCTAGTCTCATCATAAAAAGAAGAGAAATATTCCTTAAAGGGATCGGTCAGACAAACTAGTATGATTTCAAAACTCACCATAGAATGTCCCAGGAAATCCGTTACGTTTTCTGAGATATACAATAATTTTCCCTCTCTTGTGGTTACTAATATAAATCCAGTAAGCGCCTGAAAATATACAGATAGAATATAAACATATTACACAATAACTGACCAAATTAGTTTACATGATTTGAATAAGCTCTGCTGAACACTAAGATACGACAATCTGATTTAAAGCAAAATATATAAAAGTGTATTTTATTTTCTTTTGATGGCGCGCCATAAGCGACATCATTTAACATACAGTCATGACTTAGTCATGATGGCTTTGTAAAAATTATGTCGAAACTGGAATGGAATTCTAAAAGAACTATTTACGGTCTTTTGGGTATTTGGTATACATAGGTGGGTAGATAGAGTGATATAGATGGAGTGATAGATAGATAAATAGATGGATAGATGGATGGTTGGATAGATAGATAGATAGATAGATAGATGCCGAGAAATTGATTTGTCTAGGGAATTATCAGGTGTGTGTTGTCAACAAAGACAATTATGTGCGATATTCTTTTCATCGCAAAAGTCTTAGCAATGCAATAGTACATATTTGAAAGATCTGGGGCCTGTTTCATCAAATTTTAACTAAGATAAAATCCAAATTTTAGTAATTTGATTGGATAACATTAGATTGCTTTTAGTGCTTAGCCAATCAAAATTAAAGTATATACTAAAATTTGGATTTTATCTTTAGTTAAAATTTCGTGAAACAGGCCCCTGGCTTGCTGGTTTTTCAAGTATGACGCCATTATTACTTTTTTGTTTTTTGGGGTTTTTTTGTTTTTTGTATATTACTCTGAAAGTGTATACGTCTCGTATATGTATACGTCTCGTATGATTTTATCGCAGATTGGATGTCACTGCACGGTTTATGTTATATCAGTGTATAAGGAGGCATTGTATTCACATTGTAGAAATATCAGACGATGGCGGAAACTTACATCCTATCTCGCAGTAAATACCATAGTAACGCTAACGTCAATTAAATGTTTCATTGATTACACAACTTAAGATAACGGTGTATCAAGAAACAGCACTTGAATGTTAAAATTATCATGGCGATACAACCATATATAGTATATGAATTGGACTATAAGGTCAAGGTTATTCGAATAAGTCATGATATTCTTTCAAGCGCATCCGCATCGCATCCATTACGTAATAATTTATTTTGCACTTCATGAAATGGAAGGAATTTAATTCTAACAGCATTTCTAGCAATGTTATTAACGATTTAATCATATATGGTTTTAAATACTTAGAGAATTGGGTATTAATTTTATCAGTATCAAATTTTCAACGGTCACAATTTTGTTCTCTTAACCCAGTATATGATCGGATGCAACTTGAACTCTGAATACCAAAAGGTCACGGGAGACAATACCCATGTTACGTAGGTCAACTGACAAATAAAATATGTACGAAACTGTCTTTAATTTGTGTACATTTTAAATACCAGTCAGATTGCCAGTAAAAACTTGCTGTGCACAACCCTAATTTTTAGTTTTAGGTGCTTTGTAATCAATTCGATATTTAAAAAGACAGGTTTTCAGGGAACGAAACATATGCCCACGGCAGCTAAGTCGTCCGAAAGGTCGCATAATGTTGTCGCATACCCATTCGTTTGTAAATGGTCAAGAGTATTAACCCATCAGTAACTATCACCAATAATTAAAATTCGATTAGCTGCTATAGTTCTTCCCATTTTATTTATATACAAAACGAGTGTTGGTAATCAGTTGATAATTTATACTTTTCCGACTTCCAAGTTATTGGAAACGTTTGAATATCAATAGACGTCTTCGACTAATAAACATATAAACGCTGTGTATACATTTCAAGTCAATCGGCTTATAACTCTACCCTACAGAGAGGACACACGGTTTTTCAAATTAATCAAAGGTGATAAAATCAATGGGATTCTTCGTCTCATGAAATAATTAATGTTAATTAACCCCGATTAAGCACGGAAATTTTATGAGTTACTAAATTAGATCTGAGTTTATTTTAGTATTGACAAATATGTTCGAGTGTATTCATCGATCTCTTTAGCACTAACTAGATTATCAACAATTAATTAAATAGGCCAAGACGTAAAAGGAACGTTAATGTTAAAGCGTAAAAATCGTCAGACTCTCAACTAGTGTTCATTTCCCCTTTTATTTGGTCTTAAACTGATTTATTTATCATCTTGCGACATTGTGAAATATAGTTAAATACAACGACATTATGAATTAGAGTTAAATTCAACGACATTATGAACAATGGTGAAATTCGACTAACCAATCGACTAAGATTAAAACAATTTTTAAAAAAAAAAAAAAAACAATTAAACAAGCAGTGGCGGAAGTACGAAGAGATTTTTTTTAAATAATTGCTATTTTTTGTCACTATTTATACCAATAAAAATATTTTCTTTGACCCCCACCCCCACCCACTAATGGCATCGCGGACATCAATACAACATTTAAGTATTTCAGAGTCTGATTCACTTTCTACTGAATACATTAGGCATTCATTTAAAAATCAATCTTGGCAGGTATGAAGATTGACCTAGTCACACTCAGATTTGTAATCTTCATTAATCTAGACACACGGGATAGCCCCATAAAAACATCCAATCAGAATGATTTCCCGTTTCATCCAATAGTCAGGCGAGATTTATATCCGGTTTGGTGAGACTTGGCCTTGGGGAGGTCAGAATATGACTCCGTGAATAAAATTATACATGACATTATCATGGTCAGTTACAAAATAAACAAAGTCTTTTATGCGTAGTCAAACCTATCAAGTTACCAGAATATAAGACGTATAAATACGTCACATAAATAAGTCTCGATTACCAAGACACTCTATTGATGGATGACCTTTAGGATTTTCCCACCTTTATTGGAGCGATGTAAGTAAATAGACGAACTTGGTGACGTCATATTGTGAATGACTACCAGTACAAAAGAGAACTCAATATATATAAGATAATAATAATTGCACTTATTGAATTCACCTATACTGACGTACAACGGTATAATAAAAGTTCAATGGGCTGTAAATTGGGTGTGAAAACTAGACGTTGTCCTCACTGTGTATTTATCTTTCATATAAGAAGATAATACTTAATGACTTTAATCTACTCTCAACTACCTGACATTTCTCGATAAATAAGCTTGATTGTGGGTTCGCTATATAATTCCAAACGGTTGAACTTTATAATAACTTCATAACAACCACTTATTTACAAGAAATTTAATACTGCTATTTTGTATTTGGCACCGTATTTAAAGGAGCTAAATCTCTATTCTTTGGCACCTGGAAATGGTCACAAATTGGTAGCATCGCATATAATAATGTAATATGAATAAATATAAACTGATTTACATTCAATCGTTTCTGTTTTACGGCAATTTCTTATGAGTTATGTTCGGCGAAATAAGCGAAGAGTCCAAATTCAATGGCAGTCTTTGGTGTCTGGTTATTTCGGAAATCTATGTGGGATATGCTTAGCCTCGTTCATGGAGTCGCTTCATTACAAATGGCACTCGAAAGCATTCTGGCGCGCGATTCCTGTATCAATTTTTAAATTTTCATTATGTATCAATTTTTAAATTTTCATTATGTCTTAATAAGTATTAGATATCAAAAATCCAACTTTTCACGGTAAAATAACAACATTAATGTTGATTTAAATTGACCAATAAGTCGTGTTTGCAATGTCGAAGATTGTTGATGATATTGATTTAGAGACTTGCCTCTCTTAATGATGTAATTGACAATTAATGATAGTTGTGTTATATGGACTTAAGAAACATTGAAGAGAACATGTCATGCTTTTCTAGACTAGACCAATACCGGCAGGAATACCTTTCACTTTTCCCTAAAATTTGTAACTCAAACTCGAAACTATATACGACAATCACCCATGTAACATTGTGTAATTAAGCCTGCGTTTTGTTGGGGGTTTTTTTTTTAAAATGTTTAACAGGCTGAATAAAACACGAATTCTTTAACAAATAGATAAAAGTAATAACCGATATTATCTAATAGCTATCTTTATGCCAGTTAAAAACATTACGAACTTCGTACTTTGCGGTTGATGACACAGCTATTTTTCCCGCTTAACTGCGGTGGGTTTCGTCGATGTTCTCATTATCCAGGAATTTGTAGTTGTTATTTTGAAATAAATTCCAAATACTTGGTTAAACAAGCAATCATTATAGGTTTTTTATCATTTAATTCCTATAAAAGGATAATATATCTTTAACATAGAACATAGAATGGTGATGAATGAAATTTGAAACCGAATGCGCTAAACATCTGGTTTTAGAAAACTCGACAAGTTCAATGTTTTATGGACATAATAGCTAGAGGCAACAACGGAAATGTTATTTTTTTTAAATAAATAATAAAAATAGGCATTCTTTGAAATGATAAAAACAGATATTCGTGTTCTTAACGATTTTTAATTTTAACAATTTGTTGGGATTGGGGGGGGGGGGGGGGTAAGTGAGAAAACGGATATTATTTTCCAATTAATTTCAGACCGATGGACAGATTGTTTAACGCAAGAAAATCCAATCCAAAGTCCAATAGTGCTGTTCGGTTGAGCTAAAAATAGAACCCCTTCCTGTTAATTGCAGGTAGGTCAAAGTTCACGTGCCCTTATCTGGATAAAACTCATTACTTTCTTATTAATTTTTTGTTATGTAACACACACTTTACGGAGGGTGGGGGTTGGGGGATTGGGGTGGGGGAATATTTAACTCCCTACTTTTTTTTTAAAAAAGTGTTGTTTGTAGCCATTTTAAACGGTTGAGGGGATGCCAATAATTTTCAAATTGGAGACTATTTATAATGAAGTAACTCACTACGTTTAAACAAACAATGCCATGTAAATCTTTTTTTTCTTTATTTCTTTTTTTTGGTGTGTGTGTGTGGGGGGGGGGGTATGTTTAAACTTCCTACATCAGCACCCATCTAATACTTCTATTATCCCCCAACCCTTCTCTCCCATACCGCAAAATGTTTTGTGTCTTCCTAATGCCATGAGAAAGATCTTCAGACTACAGTCATTATCTCGTCTATATATATATATATATATATATATATCATAGAGCAGGGGAAATCACCAATAATGATCTTTATTAGTTTGTGTGGGCTTTTTTTTCAATCTCCCCCACCGTGTTCCATATCATTTTGCTTCTTTGAGTCTCCCCCACCGTGTTCCATATCATTTTATCTCCATTTACATATCTCCATATAAAGCTACATGACGTATTATCTCACCCACCTATGTAATTATACCTATGATGCCCCTACATTATATTATCTCATCTATTACATATTTCAAAGTTTCATTTGTAATCTGATCGTACCATTTTCTTTGTTACATATACATGTACTTATATAAATGCTCTAAATACACTTCTTTAAATACATTTTAAAAAAAGGTATTGGCTTCTTATTTTTGTTTTGCAGGTCAATGAAGATGCGTATATGGGATGTAGTGTGCTACGGGGGATTTTGGCCGGACAGCGGCGTTACAACTCACTCCCATTTCGATTTCCAACGTGCTCCCAATGAAATATATAAGGGATCTCGATTTTTCGTCCCATCCAAAACGACTTGCTCTAAATAGATAAATGAATTATGCGTGAAACAACTTTTCAATTATTATTAGGTGTAAATCGTTTTTCCAATAATCGATTAAACAGAAATCTACATTTTACATTTCTGTATAGCATTCGATCATGTCAATCAATGATGGATACGACATTATAGAAAAAATATTTTAACTAAAAAGAATAAAACTTTGTTTTAATAACCAAAACCGCAATTTCTATTCCGTTTTGTACTTTGAGACATAAAAGTCAATCAATATCTACACATATACGTCATCGACTTTTTTTTGCGCGTTTGAAAGTTAGATGTTACCCCCATTTCACTGCTTTTACATACGTCATCATCCAATGATTAATTTGGAAGGTGGTTTTTAAAAAAACTATGGAAGCTATCTATTTAAATAAACTTGATGCGAGATATCTTAATATGATCCTAAAATCGCATCATAATGTCCTATGTATTTAAAATCTAAGTCGGCAGCTTTAGTAGGGCTATTATAAATAGACAAGCGTATAATGAACAGGAGTGAAACTTTTCGCGTAATCATATACATTGCTCGGGGCGCCTGCGACCTCGTTTTGATAAATAGCGGTGTATACTCGTAACATCTATATGACGTCAATGGCTAGACTATAAATAGCTACAAATGTCACTGTATGTAAATGTAAGCAAAGGCAAAAGCCAAGTAAAAGATTTTTTTGTTTTTAAACGATGACAGCCTATTTCAACTCGTTCATTAGACTTGTAATGGGATTTGTCGTTTTGCATAATTTTAACTCGCAAGTTGAGTACAGTAAAATGGCGACTGGCGCACCTGTATCGGTGAAATACGTTGAATATTTATAAGTACACCTGCGGATTAGTTTTATGTAAACTTTTGCTTCCTTTCAACTTCGCCCATTCAAAGGTTCATTTATTTAGATATATTTTCGATTTCAAGGCCTCTACCACACACTATTTGCAATACAGTTGTGTGAAATGAAGCAATGAACTTTGACTGTTTCGGCTGTAATACAAAGCTAATTATTTGGCTGCGATAGTATAAATGCTGTTATAACTTTGCAATCGTTAAGCCGTGTAACGATGTCAAACAGGGCGTGTGTGAAGGGAGGGGGGGTGCATGTACTTAAAGCTTCTATTTCTAGTCTGTCAATTGTGTAGATTCTATACAATTGTGTGTTTTTGAAATAATATATAAATATAGATATGCGTGACGAAATGTTACTACTTATAGAATCAAAATATAACCCTATTTATTATCCCGTATAGTGGTCACTCATGGGTATGCAAACAAAATCTAAACTACATGTAAGTTTACAATTCATTATTACGTATAGTTACCATCCATGATGGTAACACGTTAAAGCAAATTCCTAAATATCATTTCGGAGGTTTCAGCGTTGTTCTACCATGCCAGTGGGGCAGAACAGAGGGTCTGGCAAGGAGCAGCGTATAGTCGTTGGGACAGGACGAAGAACCGAAGTCCCGTGTACACATTGGCGTGCACGTAAAAGATCCCTTTGTCGTTGGATTTCGGTATAAGAGTAGGCCGTAACGCCGCTGACCGGGGAAAATTTTCCTCAAAGCACACCGTATATGGCGTATGCTCGTATTCCCATAAAAAATGTGTTCTGTTAATGTGTTTACCGGTCGCTAAATGCCACTTAAAGATTATCGTATTCATTAGCCCAGTCGGAGCAGAACAGTAGGGTGTTAAACCCCATTTCATTTCACCAAAATTTGTATAAAACGTACTTGAATTGCGGAGAGCGTCGACCTCAGTAAGTACAACAACGAGAGGAGTAGCCCCTGGCGACCAGCTCCTGGTCCAAAAACAGTATGTGCGTAAAATAAAAAATCGGATCCAATGAAAATAGTCAAAACTGAAAGTGAAACAACTTCCGCGTCTAATAATGAAGGGGCTCATAATATATATAGAAGTTTGGGTGTGCCATTATTATCTGTAGTATTTGAGTGACGTCTCTTTCCCTGATAATGACACTTGCTGTCAAAATAGTTTTTTTGTCTCCTTGAGGCCGGTGTTAAAATGGGAAACACTTTAGCAGCCCATTCGTTTTGTATTTATTTATTCATAGCAACCAAAACTTACGCATCAAAAATATCTAACCGTTGTTAAAATATTATCATTAGAATTTCTAGTGATAAATGAATAGTTAGAGATAGTTTCTTGATTTGGTCAGCATTATTGATAATATAAATATTAGAATTGTAAGGGGTGGGGGTGTTTATGCTTTTGTGTAGTACTGATAAAACAACATTCACATTTTAACATACTTTTAAAGGGCGTGTGACTTTATTCTTTGGATCTTTAAAACTGACGAAAATTGATCTAAAAGCACACATTTATACAAAGTCATTTGTATTCAATTTTTAAAACAGATAATTGTAATTTCTAATCAATTGTGTTCGGTGAAATACGTTAACAGTCCAAATTAAGCCGCATGTGTTTACTCCGGCTTAGTTCTACATGTTTTTTTTATCATTATTTTGTCGTTTGTGAATCAGCCATTACTAATAACTTCCGCAATGTTGTAATGTATTCTTTTGTTTATTACGAATGGCGCCCGAAACTAAAGAATACACGACTCGTGTACTGGTTATAAAATGTTCATATTGTGTCTTAAATATTGGATATCAGGGTCTCATATTTTCACAGTAAGATAACAACACCAATATTGATTAAAAATGACTAATATTAAGATCTAATTTCGAATATAATGGAAATATTGAGTTAGAGGTTTAGCTCCTTTAAAACAAAAATATGAAAGAGATATATTTACCTGGAAAAAGTCACAGGGTAAATCTTTTCCCTGGCGTGATGATCGAAAAACTGAAAGAAAAAAGAAAACAGAACTTAAGAAGAATGTCTTCAGAACATAACAAATAAATCGATAATTTGAGTTAATGTAAATATGGAACTGAATAATTAATTTAAACAATTGTCCACAATAGTTTGTTAATGTAAATACAGAGCTAAATAATTAATATTATAAACAATTGTCCAAAATATGTAAATATAAAACTAGATAATTCATATTATGAATATTTTTCCACAATATTAAGTTGAGGGTGATTAAAGCGAGCAGAAAAGAATATAAACATGTGTTTTAGTAAAGCTATATAACCGACAAAAATTACTGTTGGACAAAAGCCAAATATAAATTGACAATACTAAAATCTAAGGTTACGGGTTAAAGATCAGATAGTATGAGACGATATGAATCATGCATCTGTCGTCATGTCAAAACGGTAAAAACCCGTGTAGGTAGCCTTCTGTAAACTAATAGTACACCTGTAAACGGTGTCATTATAATTACATCGGTAAATCATAATTTTTGGTTTCAAGTTCAGTTCAGGCAAATACTTGAAAAACAAAATAATGCGTGCGATTTTTGCTTATGTTAATAGTTCGAGACTATTTTTTTTTAAGGAACGATGACCATGATGAAATTTAAAGTAAATGGTGAATTAAATGTGAATATGATGAAATTTAAAGAAATGAGTGTTGTACACAAGGAACTCCTTTTCAAAATGGATTCGCATATACACCCAAAATGACTCAATATATCAGTGCCATGGCGTATTTAGGAGAGCCCATATTGCCAGTATAGGACTATGGACAATTGTGTTTGTTTACACTTGGCTATAAAAAATAACACAAAAAAAACATATAGATATGCAGGTAACATTTTAAATTCGTTGACCTCTCCGCCGCCCTTTTTCTCAAAATCTGGATACCGGTACGCTACCATATCTGTTCATGTCCTAGAACATGCAGTGGAGCTTTGTGGGCGGATGCCATTTCAAGGGATAAGGGTTTAACAGCATATATTTTTTTTTAAACCTGTATGCATGTTCTTGATAAAAATAATCAGCATACAACGGTTTCCACCCGCAGTCTTTTAATTAAACATATAAATATCTATGTTTAGTTTAGTTTACACGTTTCTCGTTACTTTAACCACATCTCGACCAAAACCAAACCTATGTAACCTTTGAAATGATTGGATAATTAACGCGGTAATCATTCCACATTTAGCCAATTAAACGCCTATTTTTATACTAAGTGTACTGTTAGGAGAAATTTAAGAAAATAAATACTTGCTTCTAATGGCAATACGATATTGGTTTTTGTGCATAAATGGGACAGTTGCTTCTCTTAATTATGCGGGAAGCTGAAACATCTTAAACTTCTCTGCATCAATCGAGCGGGTTTATGAAAACGGTATGCTTGAAAATGTCCAAATGAATCAATGAATTTAACAAACGGTATGATTTAACATTATTTCATATTCCTTTTATCATTCAAAACTGGGAGTGGTATCAAGTATTCTAGACTCTAATCATCGAGTGCGAATATATTAATATACATGCCAATTTTAAGAGAATTCTCTATTTTGTTCCATGTAAAACTGGAACCAGAAACTAATATTTTTATTTGATTTTGACCTGGGAATATTCCTGTTGGTACGACCTTCCTACGTTCTACTGCGACCTACATCTCAAGATATTTAGTTCTAATCTAGGACACATATGGTAAACATTCGTTTCGTATCTTATCATTTCACTGCTGAATATTCATGTCGTAATTTAGAGTGACCCACTTTGACATATGAATTTCGTCTGTACCTTAAGGCGGCCATGAAATTATTACAAATATCCATGCATTCGGTTTAGTGTCTAACTTATGAAAAACTACTTTATTCTGTAGCCGTCAAAAAACTTATGGAAGAGACGATGACATATATCAGTTTTTTTTTTCTTTACCGACTGTCTTTAAAATATTATGTGTGTTGATGAATAGCGTGGTATACATGTCAATCCTTTAAAGATTCATTATGTAAGAGTTAACTTTTGTTATATGTTATATAAATTATTATTTAGAGATTTATTCATGACAAGTTTATAATCAGCTCTCTAGACTATCGGATGGCGCAGATGTAAACGGATTAAAATACGATCGCCATTTAATGATTTAATTTAGAAAAGGAAAAGCGAGGCCGGGTCTCGGTTAACAAGTAACGTTGATACGATAATAAACATCTATGTCAAAACTTCAAACAGTACTAGTGATAACGAATACAACAATTTGAATGAAATTTTCAATACATTCATTTTGAATTGTCTATTCTGGAACTATTATAGCAAGAACGGTCAATTTTTTTTATCTCAATCTTACATAATGCATCTTTAAGCAAGTAAATTAATTCTCATATTTACGCAATTAGGAGTCAAAAGCAGACCTTGGTCCACGTAAACCTAACGCGGTATCTGTTACAACCTCGTGGGTTTTCTCCGGGTCCTCCCACTGCTAAAGACCCCTACGCGCAAGCGAATTATGTAAATAAAATTGAACCATAATGTTAGTCCCGAAATGACCTAGTTTGTGTCGAGTGGACGTTAAACCCCATTTCTCTCTCTCTCTCTCTCTCTCTCTCTGTTACAAATATTGCCCTACTAGTGGATAACACAGCGTTGCACGGGTTGTGCACGTACACGTAACTCGGAAACCGGAAGCAGTCGGCCAACGCCACCTAGCCTATTTTACTCCCCGGTCCGTGCTACCCCTATACACCATATTGCAGCCTCGGGACGTCCTAGTGTAACCGCCAACCTGAACAGACAAACAGGCAGATGGATAATCATACAGACAAAAGTCAGTCACAAAATGTCCCGCATAGCACACTGCATGGCCCAGTCGGAGCAGAACAGTAGGACGTTAACCCCATTTCATTTCATTTCACCTACATGACTGGATTTTGTTTAATAGTGGAAAAAATCAGGTCGTTCTAAAAATATCAATAATCAATCAAGGTAGGTAGCCACACCGATCCATCATGGCCGTTCTATAATTAAAATAATTGGCTGTAGGCTATTCTTTCAACAGTTTTAGTCAACTGGCCAAGATAACTTAACCCAATATTCATTCAATAAAAGTTACAACTATTTCTGACAATTAAATCAATCAATGAAAAAATAATTAATTAAGAAGTGTAAATCTATTCCGATGCCTTGGGTGTTTCAAAAATAGATTTATTGCCATAGGTTGGGGTTGGGGGATTTTTTTGTTAAAAGGAGTAAGGGTGTAAATTTATGCTTTTAAGCTGAAATTCCTCTACAACTGGCTTTCCGTCTGGTTTCATTTGAAAAATCAAAGCATTCTGTTTTGTGGGTAAACCTAATAACGCGATTGTTGTGGGATGAATGTATACGCGTACAAAAACAGATGTGTGGAAAGACAAGGGGGTGCCTTTAACATAAATATATGGATAAACAATATAATTATTAGGACAGTCTGGGGTCAAAAGAGTTCAGTTTCGAAAGTGTTTTTGTGGGGTATGGGGATCAGGTCACACAAACACACGTCGTCGTCTTCATCGAAGTTCATATTTCTGAAATATTTTCCATATAAGTCAGATTATTCTTCATAATACAGATTTTATTCTAGGAAATGTTAATTAGATGAGAATCTTTTTTTATTATTATTTATTGTAACCTGCTAAGCGTACCTTTATTTGACCGAAAGTAGATGTAAAATGAAATGAAATTTAACGTCCTACTGTTCGGGGGAAATTAGTCTAACCATGCACAACTTCTAAACCAATCGTGGGTCATAGAAAGAATACAAAACCATATTCTAATAACAGGAGCAAGTTGTTAATTTTCCTACTTTTTTTCTGCGATAACATTTCCGTGGAAGCTGACGTTAAATATCAACTAGTCGATCAGTGAATGTGTATTTACATGTAGTGTGTGATTGACAATCGAAACCGGTTAACCGCCAGAAGTAAATATACACATGAATCACGGGTAGATGGATACATAAATACAAATGGTGCAATTAATTGTACATTGACATGTGTGCATATAAAATATAGGTTACGGAGTTATTCATTTATCTATAATTTAAAAAGCGGGAAATCGAGTGGATTACTCATACAATAATAATTAGATAACCACTGGTAATTTTGCGGTCTCATGTTTTTCGGTGGCGATAAGCTTTATTATGACAACATGTATATGGAATTTTAATTTAATCTCATGCCATATTAGGCAATGACACACACCTAATTGCATATGATGTCATGTTTATAAATGGATATTATATTAAAATAAATATAATTTTCGAGACGACGAGATTTATTATAGCTGCTACTGTTTCAATTAGATTGTATGCTTAATTTGAGGCAAATCTGCTTAGTCATTGCTGAGATATAGACGTTCTAAAATGAAGTGGTTTTGGAGCATTCGTCTTGATTAGCCCAGTTGGAGTACAACGGTATAGGACGTTAAACCTTATTTCATTTCGTTTTCATACCGTTGAACGAACACTCGTGCAAAACACTTTAATCTAAGTAGATTTTCGATAATTTGGGAGTCTTAAAAAGTTATTTTAAATATGATATTATTTAAAACTAATTCATATTCGTAGCCAGAGTGATGATGCTTCTTTAATACCTTATAATGGGTTGGGTGAACATGTTTTAAGAGACATTTTGACATAAAACATTAATAATGGCTTGGACTTTTATTCTAGTTTAATCTACATAATATGCAATGTACAGTTTATATTTTTACAACTGTTTATTGGTGTACGAGATTCTGACGATGATTCAAGCCCCTGAAGCTCACTACAAAACCACACAATAAAAAAAATATTTATGCACACCAACAATAAATGTTCTTATTGGGTTAAACTTATTCTGACTTATGTTGGTTTAACCTTATTTTGACTGCAAGGCTTTTATTTCCAGTGGCAGTTTACAATAAAATATATTGTTTTAGTGGGTGTTTTATTACGTAAATCTGTCTGATCTTTAAATTTCTACGCATATCATTTCCAGAATATCTTTTGTAAAACCAACCCATAGGTGGTTTACCCTGAAGATACTAGTTATATGTGTGTCTTACATATCAACACCTGTGCTTAAAAATGATAAGAAAACACTTGTCGAAACGTCGTGATGTATGCGTACCAACCGGTGATTGTTTTCCATATAAATTGCGTTGTGGATTTTTTTTTTTTTTTTTTTTTTTTGGGGGGGGGGTAATCTTTTGTGCGGTTATGGGAAACTATTGATGATGTTTAGCCAAGCCAAAATATTATTTTGATTCTTTAATATCAACAACAACAATACAACTGTATAATCGGATGTTTGCTTGTAAATGCCGGCAGTCTGTAAACACGTGGGTGTTAAGGGTCAGATCCTGTAGCAACCAACCAAACATATGCGAAAAACATGGTCTGACGTAAATAAATAAAACAAACACTACCATTCACATTCTTACCGCTTATAACAATTCCCAATGCTTGTTTGCAAAATGAACATTTATTTTTACAGTGCATAAACTCTTTGTTTTGATAACCTAGACTAGTAATAGGATCTTTCTTCCAGTAACATTTCTTTTCCAACAATCTTACATCGTCCGATCCTCTAAAAATACAGGCCAATACTAAAACGTATATATTTAGCTCGGGTATATTATCAACAACCCTGCATGTTTAAAGTACAAAATTGCGCGATTTATATAAACTTATGTCGCTGAATGTCTTTTTTGTTTGCTCTTTCTTTCATAGAGCGTTTTGCTCTAGTAGTTTATCTTATTAGCTTCAACTTTTTTAGGCTGTGCACGAGAAAGTATGTTTGGCGAATTAAATTTGTTACATTTCAATATTAGCACTATACATAAAGTGCTATGCACAATCCGAGTTTTAGCAAAATCCCGCCAGATAATATATATTAACTTACAATCCCTCTATTCATTTGTAATTATTAATATTAGTTATAAGATACCCAAATTAAGTTTATCATTTTCATTATTTGAATGCAATTACGGTGACATTGTCCTTATAATTAAACACATATGTTTTTTTTTAAAAAATGCAGCTTGATATGCTAAATTTAAAGAACTGATACTAAATATCATCTATTAATACGGAATAGGTAATAATGTATAATATTTACAAACTAATTAGACGTCTAGACTTATACATAATTAATAAGCAGTTATTACGAAACGTTTGACTGGTGCATTTGTTCATATGTATAAGAAGATAGGTGAAAGCAGGTCGCCTTGGTGACAACCTGATTAGTAAGTGTTGATATATTGACAACCTGATTAATAAGAGTTGGTATAGCGATGTAGACCTTTACATTACTTTTAGCTTCAACCACCCATCCGTCACATATAATTATACCTATCGTATAGATTAAAGTATTGGCAAAAAATGGGTTAAAAGTATAAACAATGTCCTTGTAGAGTAAAGTAATTTGAAACTTTAAGTTTTGGACGAATATTATCTTAATGAACATTTACTATACTCATTTGTTTTGGGTTGGTTTTTTTTATGTTATTTCATAGTTTAATTTAGCTATCTGATTCTTAACTTCTCTAAAATATACACACACTCATAGTGTATATATAGTTACGGTGTCTTAAATACTGGGGATATGTTTGATGTTGTGTCTTCTTCCTCGTTTTGATTCAAGCGCATGTTATACAACAATCAGGTTTTTTATCATACAATAGATACGAAATATGGTTTTATGACCCTGTATATCACAGGGGCTTGCTTGTGAAACTCAGCATTGACCTACATATATTTGAGCACAACCACTTTGTGTTCTGTATAAATGAATAAAATATCACAGCTCATGATTCATCATTTGTACTCAAAATCTTTCCTGTTTCGCGCGTTTATATTCCTCTTTCCTGCGACCTATTGATGACCCTACTTTGCTTAAAATTTATAACATATCCTTTCATAAATATTTTAAAGTTAAATTTAAGCACTTTTGAAGTGTGTCTATATAGAAAGCTGTTATATAATATATTCAAACATCTTTTTGTAAATAATTAAATCTAAACTGCTGAGAAGTTTTTAACTTTTCTACCCACTTTTATTAAAATATGAAGGGCTTGAGACCACACATACAACCAGTTTGTAATATACTTTTATGCGTAATTTAGGTAGTTGTTTACTAGATTTTAATAAACACAGGGTTTAGATAAGCCTTAAGAACAGCATTTTACAAGTTCGTCATTACTAGATCAGAAAACTGAACAACACCAACAGATTTTCACCTTGTCTAAATACTGTTATTGTAAATGGTTTACTAGGATTGAATGACAAGGGCGTTGTGAAGAATACCCTTTGCACATTTTGGTGCGTGTTAATCGAAAACAACTGAGTCTATTGGTGTATGAATTGTGTATACATATATATCCCTGTACATTAAATCGTACAAGTTTTTAGTTTGTTATTAGATTCCCCCAACATTAAGACATGGGCCGAACTAATAAAATAAGATGGTGGGGCGGGGTCTGGGTGGGGTCTGGGTTGGGGTTGGGTTTTATACAATGAGTTAAATTTCTTCAACGGTAAAACTTAAATTATCGTAGTGGAAAATACTTCAAAGTGTTGAATTAATTCAAAAGGTAAATAGAGCCGTCTATATTCACCAATAAGGAAGAGTTGAATGGGGTTGACTTTGGTTTGTATTTGTCAACAGGGCGTGATATCTCTTCAAGCTGTAAAAGGTCTCTATTATACAGTAGATTTGTTAAAACATATCAGAAATTTAATTCATATCCTCGAGGAACACCAGTTCAGAATCTTTGTGGTTGATTTAAATATAAAAATATCACCCCTTCGAGGAAAAACGTGCCTGTCTGATTCTCCATAGTATTGTCGCTATAGGCTTCGGGAAGCCACGAACACAAGAGATACGATGCTGATAGCTTAACTGCCCGAACTCAATATTTATCGTTTTGTTGAATTTGAAATATATGTTTCTTGATAAGGTTTATTTTGTTTTGTTCGTGGGTTTGAACCTTGGTGTGCCATTTGTAGGTTTAGGAAAACAAACGGCATAAAACAGTAATGTTTGATGGCTACAACATCGTACGATTACTCACGTTTTTGTAAGATGTTGCACTTCCGGATATATACACAGCTCAGCGACATTATTTGTAATTGCGAAAGTCGCTGTCTGGCTGACTCAGCCAATGGAAGCAGATCTCTCATTGTTCCTATTTCTGTGTTGATTTGGTCTCTTCTCTGTTTAGATGCACCACGGTTTGATCTGGAAAAAAATAAAACAATTTTTAAATACCGAGAAAGACTTTCTATGGAAGGGGAGGGGGGGTCTAACCCCGGTGCCGCCTTTTGACTTGGTACCTGGTGTTATATGTAGCTATACATTGTATGGATGCGAGACTTGATAATCTAAATGGTCATATAATTTTCTCAATAATGTTTAGACGTAGTTCTCCAGGTAATCCCCAAAACCAACCCCACATGGAAACTGAAAGAACTTCAGATACCTGCAGAGTATTAGGATACACTTTTTGGGGGTCATTCACCCGGAATTAACCAGTGTTATGAACTAAAAAAGGTCTGGGACCCATCCTTTTAGATTGTAAATCGCACGATACAGCAGAATATTACTGAGGTATATTACTGTAATGTAAAGTACAGTTAAATATTTAGTCAAATTTTATATAAAAACACCATTTTTACTGTTTTACTTGCATCACATGTAACGTCACTTGATTAGCATAATTATTTAATTCTGTGGATGAAGTAAAACAGCGTAGGCGAAAGGGAACAGACTTGAAATATACGAGAAAAAAAAGCTTTGTAATTAACTTGGTAGGATTCCGTGTTGACATTCCTCCACTTCTATATACAGTAGCCTGCATCTGTGTATTTACATACGCCTCTATAAGATTACCTTCAATCGTTTATAAATTACATACACACAGCTACGCTTACTATTATTCCAAATACTTCGCTAAAAGCGCGACTTTGTGAATTTGGGAACACTTAAAAAAACAACAGACTAGAAGCAAAATCAAAAGATCAGAAATCTTTGAATTTTATCAAAAGTAATGGCCTCTGAGGCTAATGACATGTATAGAAAATGTACCAATAGACAGATTTAGGTCCATGGTCATTTAAAATTCTCTTACGGCAAGCTATTCTTGCTTTGCCTAATTTGTGGCAAATGTCCTTTGAATGCGAAGCATTTTCAGATATATCCTAAAGGCACAATTTCCGGCAATTAACAAGACAAAGCTTTCTAATCCTGTCCGTCATGCATATGCAATTATTCCAATTATTATGGATTTAAATTTTACTGTCGTTACACATTTTACATAATTATGCGACTGTATAATATGTATATACACGATGTAAACCAAAACGACCTGGCATCCCTGAAAAGACATAAACTAATTGAATATGTAGGTTTCAAGCTTACCCAATTACATGTAACTCCATTTGGCTTCTACGTGTCATATTCAAATTTCTAATAGGGTAAATCAGTCGCGGAGTTTTACACTTCAGATGGTAATGAGTTCAAGATTTAGTTCTAATGTGACACAGAAGTTTCCTTGTCATGGGATTATAAACAAATGTAAAACTGTTTCAGCTAAATTTGTAAATATTATCTTTCTTATCTGATAAAAGCCATGGATTATTGTTGATAAAACTAGAACTATGGTCTAAATGTCCAAACAGCAAATAATTCAGGAACAGACGGTATTGTCGTTCGGCAAACTCCGGCGTTGTGACCAAAAAGTACATTTACTGACTACGTCTTATTGTGTAGTGACGGTTCAATCTTGTGCAGATTGGACCGATTCAATATTTTTCTCTAAAATGTCGGACATCGATCAGTTTGACAGAAAAATAGGTCTTGATTCTTTGAAAACTTTGTTGTTTTGTCACAGATCTGGTGAGATTAAGAAATAGTTCTTGGTTGAAATGAAAGGAAATTGGGTTTAACGCCCTACTTTTCTGCTCCGAGTGGGCTAATTAAAGACCGTTCGAACGTTTAGTGGGCCGTCAGGGTGTAGAACAATATACATATTAAGATAATATAAGTCTGGCAAATAACTGTGGTCATATAAATCAAAAAATTCACGGACTCGAATCTCAAAGGAGCTACCACACAAGCATAATTCTTTATGGAGGACTCTTAGAAATGTTTATCCGAGTCCTATTTGAATACCTGTGTTAAATTCTCACAGTTTTCAAACACCCTTACCTTAGTTGCAGTCGTAAGTAATTGTCGCGATTAACACGTCACTATTTGAACAATGGAATTCCCTGAAATTTGTTACGTAATCCCGTTTAGTAGCGAATCAAAGAATCACTTCTAAACCGTTCAATATTTTGAGATGAAACTTTTGGACAAACTATTTGGACAATTAGGTTTTATTTTTTGAGACTGTGCATTCTGAGATTGATTAATATTTTGAGATGAAACATTTGGACAAACTATTTGAAATATTGGATTTATTTTATATACTTAAACCCACATTTATCAAAGAGTTTAATGTGCATTTTCAGATTCCTCTCTCAGATATGAAAATTACACCAACCTTGAATATCCGTTAATGTATGTATTGTATCGTGAATTAAATACAAACATGTTTTGATTTAAATATATAAATGTTCAGTAACTTTTATCGCCTTACATCAGGCGCTAACCACCGGAGGACATGATGATATCGCGTTATTGCCCCTGGGTAGATAATTTTGTTTATATGTTTACGGTGACAATGTTTATCTTGACTGAAGGTCATCTGAAGGTTGACCCGTGTTTTCTAAAAGGTCACCGAAACCCTTGTATCTGTGTATATCTTAGGGGCAGATTAACCAGTGAGTCGGTTAAAATCGCGTTAACTTGGAGTATTTGTGCAGTATTGCTAAGAAGAGGTCAACCAGATTGTATAAAATGTTTTCATCTGTAATTAAACCGCAAATTTTACCAACAACAAGATGGAGTATATTTGAAATGACATGAAATAATTTAAAGATAACCAACAAAAAAAAAATGATATTTCATTCCACGTGAACAGAATATGAGGTGCATTATTTGAAAATGTTTCTCTGTTTCAGACGGTTGTTACTGAAAATAGAATATTGGTCAATAGAGTTACATAAACGGATCTTGATGATTCCTTCCGGAAATTAAGTCCTTAAGACGAAAGCGTTGTGGGTTATTATAATACTATCTATTTCTATATCGTATACATAAATACAATTAGTATAAAAAGTTCAATCTCGCCCCCATAAACTATTTCAGTTTGACCATTTTCTTAGGCCGTCTTCATTAGTTCAGTCGGTGCAGACAATTTGGACGATAAACCCCATTTCATTTCATTTGTTTTCTTAATCTGAAAACATAATTTCAAATACGGAGACTGAAATTAAACACAATATCACATAGAATAAATTAAGCATCCTATAAATTAAATATTTTTTGTAAAATCTTACTGAGCTTGACACTTTAAATGATTTTGCTGACTGTTTAATGATTCAGATGACTGTCAGTTTTTATATCAATTTGAAGGGATGTATTTTTCATGCTGAGTTAATTTTTGCGTTATATATGGTGAACTAGACCTACATGTAATATTTCATACGAGTGACTGGACCTATTCATGTACTACGCTGATAATAAATTGAGTTGTCACTACTGTAATAAAATGTCGTAAATTGTGAAAGTCAACACATGGAAAACAAATACTGTAAACTAGACAAATATATACATTTTTATTGTTTGTGTTTTATGTATTATCTTTATAAGAAAATATATATAAAAGGAAACAGTAAATCTTATCGGAACATTTGAAATACTCAGCGAGAATTCAGATATCATCAAACAAGATTGGAACAATATACCGATTTGTTTCAAGCAATACGATTTGCACAATAGGGTGTCCAACGCTATGTATTTTACTTGTATCCTAAAACCGTAAAGAAAATAGGCCACGGGCCAGGATTCACTCCTGTTAAAACATTTTTATGGCTTCAGATAATGTCTATACGTAACCACTTTTAAACGTGCCAGTAACGGTTCCAACAGCGGAATTTGACAATTCCGATTAATTTAAACGGTTAAACGTAGCGTTCCGTTCTGAAAACGGTTCTAGATCGCCCGGTATGTTTGTTGGCATCTGGATGACATACATGGGGGACTGAAATTAATCTTTTTGGGGAATTGTTGTACATTTAGCGTACAAGGTACGGTTCCTAGCAATGTAAATGGTACAAATTTCTTCAATTTTATACCGACCATAAACGGTTGTGGCAAAGTCTAAACGTTTACCTGAACTGATTAACAGAGACCTAAAGCTAGGTTCCCATTGTCGTGCTTTACGTTGCAATATGACTGTCCCTATTGAGTCCACGATCTGGCACGTGCAGATACGTTCGTATACGTTTAGATGCGATCAACACGATTTCTACGACGGGAGAGAGAGAGAAATCGAGTTTAACGTCCAATCGACACCAACTAGGTCATTTCGGGACTAACATATGGTTTTAATTTTATTTCAATAATTCGCTTCCGCGTAGGGGTCTTTAGCAGTGGGAGGAAACCGGAGGACCCGGAGAAAACCCACGAGGTTGGACAGGTGACCCTACTCCTTGTCACGTATTCTACGACGGACCTAAATATATGATAATGATCTCTGATAACAGAAATTGTGCACAAATGGTGTGGAATAACATCTATATTTCACGTTGATATCCATGGGGATAAGAAAAAATGTGAAAACATACTTTAGACAATTATCACTGAAAAAGGAAATGATATAAGCCAGCAGGCATGTTCATTTCTTGTTGATATGATTGAGATAAAGTTTTTCTTGTTGTTAACTGAATCCGAGAAAATTTCATCTTAACACATCACCAAGTTAAAAAAAAAAAAAGAAAATATGATCACTTGCTTTTGTAATATTTCAGCAAAATGAAAATGAAGTTATAGATTATTTACTAGATATCGTGACGGTGAAATAGAATGTTCGTCACATACCTCTTTTTATTATTATTATTATTATTATTATTATGGGCCCTGTTTCACGAAATCTTAACTAAAGATAAAATCCTAATTTTAGAAGATACTTCAATTTTGATTGGTTAGGCACTAAAATCAAGCCAATATTATCCAATCAAATGACTAAAATTTGGATTTTATCTAAGTTAAAATTTCGTGAAACAGGCCCCACAGACTGATAAAATATGTGTTATGTGACCCACGAACAAAGAAATGGTTGGGGAATGATATCGTCGGCAATGGTATCAAATAAATGCAGTATTTCGGTTCACGTGGCAGTATCGGTTGTATTTAAATTTATCTCATACATTTTAAGAATAACGTCGTCATAAGGAGTATTTTAAAATTATGGAATGGTGACCAAAAACCCACATCATGTTAAGGATCCATTGACGGTTTGAAATCGTAATATGGGTAGAGCGCGTGACTGTCTTCAATAGCCCTGTTGGATGATAAACTCCAGTAGAAGAGGATGTAATAATAACTAACCCAGAAGTAGAGACAGAATTACCGAACAAAACTATTATACCATGCATGCATTTTATAATCACGATCATTAGAGATTTTACATGTACAACAAAAAACTAAATTTTCCCCGAATTCAGTCTATGATTGGTCTTCTTTCATTGAAATCGGAACATGATTGAAATCGAGCTTCCACACAGAGAGAGAGAGAGGAGATTTAACGTCCACTCGACACAAACTAGGTCATTTCGGGACTAACACATGGTTCAATTTTATTTCAATAATTCGCTTGCGCGTAGGGGCCTTTATCAGTGGGTGGAAACCAGAGGACCCGGAGAAAACCCACAAGGTTGGACAGGCGACCCTACTCCTTGTCACGGACAACCAGGGAATCGAAACCATGCCAGTTGACTCAATGACAGACCTTATTATACGGCGAGCACGTACTAACCATTCGGCCATCCAACCCCTCTCCGCAAAAAGAAAAGTTTTACAGAAAGAAAAGAATACAAAGGTGGCTATAAAAAAACAAGCACAATTGACCCTACCCAGTGATCAAAGTTCAGTGGACGAATTCTAAGTGGACCCGCCACATAAGGAATCATATCATAAAGGTAAGTGGTACCCGTAATTCATAAAAGGTAAGCATACCCTCCTTGTGCGTGACACTCGCCACCGCTAACCGCTGAAACTAATACAACTGTAACATAGGATAAAGAGTTTTGTTGTTTGCGTTGACTTGGTTTTCTAGTGTCTTTGTATATTCCCAGGTGGAATCAACTAACGGAGAAAGTACGATGCCCATCGTCACACCTGTGTTCAATTTCATTCATTAATTTAATCAATACAATATTTAATAAAGCAAATTAACTTTCCTGAAATTAGAACACCTCTGAGACATTTTTTTCACATTTCCCAGAACATTATACAATATTAACATTATTATACTATTCATTAAAATATCACGACTTTACATAATCAAAACTGGCTTCCATTGTATATGCTATTTGAGATATAACACAACCGAATACTCTACTTCCTCGATGTTATCTAATATTTGATTCACATTAAATGCACTAAAATATTAGACATGTTTGATTGCGTTAGATACTCTTTTAGGGGCGAAATGTACCGATACCCTGGATCACTACTTTGTTCATATTTGTATTTGAATTGTGTTGTCTAGTACACTTCTTCCTGCATTAACAAAGTACAAAATGATTTAGTCTGTTATATTGAGGGAGCTGAGGTAGTCGAGTGGCGAGGGACCGGAAGGGACCAACACCCAGGGTCCATTGAACCCCATTCTACCCCATTCCATTCTAATATATTGGTTTTCTGGTTGGGATATAAAATTTTGTATTCATGCCTTAGGTGTTGAAACTTCGCAATATTAAAACGTCATTCGCACTCTTCAATTTTCTATCGAAACTTCGCCATATCAAGACAACTCTGGTTGTATACAAATATATTATAAGATACTTTCTGGGGATGAACTGTGGTTACCTTTTATGATAAGATAGATACCGTGTGGAGATATGATTTATTCCCTTACGGAATCATTCAAGACAATTGTTCCGAAAAATAAAATCAATCGGTCGATAAAGGTCAAGTAGGTACTAATGGTGTTTTTCGTGTGTTTCCATGAAAACTGTGAAATAACTGGGGGATGGGCTAATGTAGATATATAAATAACATAAAACTTCAAGCTGTTAAAAATATATTCTATACATGTATACCAATTATCACGGATCGACTTCCTTTATTTTCAAAGGGTGTTCGATGGGGTAACTAGTGGTTTAACACGTGCTTGTGAAATCACAAGATCTGGCATTGAGTCAAGCGGCGTGATTTCGATTCCCTCGTGGGTTTTCTCCGGGTCCTCCGGTTTCTTCCAACTGCTAAAGGCCTTTCACCTAATTGTACACAGGGTATCAGATTTTTGTTCCAACCACAGTGAACAGGCAACCACACTGTAATAGTCTGAGGAACTTTCTCGGGCAATTTATATTATCAGGGACGGTTACATAATGTATATTACAAAAAAAGTTCATGAAGTTAATGATTTATATTAAATAGAATAGTGTACATATACATGTGTGTGGGGGTGTTGAGGAACTGTCTCACTAAAACAAATGCGTGGAACAATAAAAATGTTTAGCAGATTACATGTAGATGACAACTCAGGGTAGCCTATTTATTATAAAATACCAAGTAATCAGTCATGTCATGTCATGTCGCAAGCTGAAGATAAAATTGACCTGGGAAGGTGAAGGAAGTCAGTTCATATCAATCCAATCTTTGTGCATTTTTTTTAAACCTCAAATAAATTTATTTCCGAAATGAAAAGATTACATATCAGTACCGATCTAGGGAATGTTTGAATTGAATATCTGGATTTTATTTCGATGTACGTCGAGAACTATTGTTCAGGGCGAGAAACTTGTCGAATGACGTTATCTCCAGTTAAATAGTAGGTCACATTTAAGATGGCTGATTTACCAAGAAGACAACACTCGCTTATATAGAGTAATACTGAATAGGGAAAAGAAATGAAATAAGTTCACCGATTAAGTTACAATCCTGGCCAAATTTAGACAGCTTCATTTATTTCCTCATTCGTAAAAGTTTTCCTGTTGAAACCTATTTATCAGTTTTAAACAGAAGCATTGCGAAAAGGATTAAGCTTTCAACATTACTCAACCCACCATCCCTTCTTCCTCCTGGATTGCCAAATAACTTACTAACCACTTAAAGACACATTATGGGAGATTAGATAAAGAGCTGGCAGTTCTCACTATAATAGTTAAAAACTAGATAATGTAAAGGGAATTTGCTGAAAATTTCAGTTAAATTGATCCACTCCGAACCGAGATTTCAATAATTGAATTTTGAGTCTAGCTTCGATCATCATTACTATTCCGTACGATAAGATATCGCCGGTTAGCGATGACATCGGGAGTTGATTATGGTCTGGATAAGTTAATTAATGTCTAATTATTAATTTAGATAACATTTCAGGCCTAAAGAAAGACGTGCAATTGTCAGATGTAGCTCTTGCATAATGTATGTTTAAATGCACAAAAATAAATATATTGAAAGAGACCAAATAATTCCAAAAGCATGAAGGACAAAATATACACCAAAAAACAACGTTTAGAAATTAATATGCAGGATCAATTTATATTTATATCAGTTTAATCTATAAAATACTTGCATCCATTTATCAAGATTATTCAAAAATACTAATTATGATCACTTGAATAATTTATTCATATTCAATTTACAACAGTATCCATTTAAATTGAATTCCTCACGTGGCAATGACAAAAATTCATTTCTATCGACAAAAGTTCAATTTAAATACGCATATTAAAACAATTACTATTCCAAACTACGATTAAATATGATCACACAATTATTCTGAATTTTTGTTATCTTTTTTTGAAAAAAGAAATTTTCGTAGTATGGATCTGTCTATTAATCCGACATTCGGAATAAAATAAATATCTCGCGCAATGAAAAATAAAACGAAATATAGTCTGTTTTGTAACAATTTCTAAAAATAGAAACATCTAAATTAAATTTAGTTTTAAAATACGAAGAAAATTCAAATGAATCTTTATTCTTTCTAAGGATATTGATCTACATGTAAGTAAATATTCTATATATTATGTAGGCCATTACAATGACAAGTAGAATGTATTTGTAAATAATGATCACTATGGTCCGCGATTATCATACACAATGACTACTTGAACGTTAATGGACAAGATATTGACGGGTGTGGTTTCATTGATCGACGATTAACGGTAAAAACCAAGTTAATTAATCAATTGTTAAACGCCTTACCTGTCTAAATCCAACATTGTCATTTCATCCACTGGGCTAGGAGCCATTTTGCTTAATCAAAAACGTTTCGATCATGTAAAAAATATAACACTACAAAAAAAATAATAGGACGGACCAGCCGTCTCAACGCTTCAGGGAAACTTTGCTTACTATTTACTCTTGAACTGATACCTGTATAGTCGACCAGCTATAGATCACGTGATAATTTCCGTCTGGTTAATCTTTATACTATAAGTAAAGGGTATTGTAATACCAGTTGATCTAATCTAATCAAGCTTCGTTTATCAAGCTTCATCTTTTCTATTATGAATTGCGTTATCTCTGCGTCTTATTGATCGAGTTGGTAGCATACTGCTTCAATTACGCACGAGGCCAACACATATAACATCTTTGTGAATTGTCCTTCCTCGTTTAATGCAGCACTGCCAATTAAGTTATTTTTATAGTGAAATGCCCCACCTAAGGGGGCACGGGTAAGTTCTGGGGGGTCTGTTTTTGTGGGCGGAGGTTTTTCGCCCATACACGATGTAATGCTGATGCTATTAGGAGCTTACTGGTATATGGGGAGCCACGGTGGCTAAGTGGGTAGACGCTGGCTCGCTAGCCTGCAGGTCGCGCGCGTTCGCTCCCTGTATTGGCCGAGAAAGTTCATCGAGATTTTCCGGCGTGGTTTCGACTTGTCATTGGTACAGGACGGAGGGCCTGAAAACGACAGTCGTTTGGATGGGATGAAAAACCGAGGTCAAGATCCCTTGGCAGTGGTAATTCGATATAAGAGTAGGCCGTATATAACATTTCCCACTGATCTGTATGACCAGGACCGAAATGTTAACGGCCGAAACCTCTTACATTACTTTTTTTGGGTGGGTGGGGGACCAGTAACTAGTCGCTAACCGCAATTCATTTTTCACCTATTTATCCAAAGACGTAGTTTCGTACCTCCGATTGAATATAAAAAAATACCAAACATAACACATAGAACCCGATTATATAAGCTTACCATTATTGTACTATTCTCGTTAAGATTTTAAATAGCAAATCTCTATGGAATTGTATCAAAGATTAAATATTTTAATTGCAAAACGCTACACTAAAATTAAACCTCGGATTAAGTATGGTGCCGATTATGCTTATAGTAAACACAGCTTAAGTCTTAGTAGTGGCGCCAGGATTCCTGGAGACGTATATCATTAATTACAAAGACGGGTTTAAAATTTTTACCTTAGTCACGGAACTCATATCATAGTTTGTTGAGTAAATGTCGTTCACTTTGCTAACATCCGATTCTTTTCTCTTGCAGGTGCAAACATCTCGCATTACTTTCAGTGTAAAACAAACAAATAATGCTATTCTCTGCCAACGGTTGGGGGTTTTTTTTGTTGTTGTTGTTTTGTTTTGTTTTTTTGTTTTTTTTGATTGATTTATCTCAGATAGGATAGATCTTGGAAGAAACGAGATAAACACATTTAGTTTTATCTAACGTGATCATATTTAATTGAGCGCAGAAAGAAACAAATGGCGGCAATATTTATTCCTTAATGTGCTAAAACTTAAGGTAGCTTTTCATCATTAACTGTTCAGGTCAAAATCATTTTTAAAGATTTTTTTGCTACGATCGGTCAAATGAATCTATGATGCATGTGTTAGTTCCTCCAGCCTCAAAATCATGGATATTCATTAAAACCTGGTAGAAAATGTAAATTCAAACACACTCCTCTTAAGATTCTAGATCAAATATTGCCATGCAAAAAAGTGTCGAAAAGACAGAAAGAAGGAATTGATATGAACGACATGCGTGGTATACCGAGATAAGGGGAAACAACTGGTCTAAAACTGAATTAAAAAAAATGCTCGAATTGACATTGTTGTCCTAGTGTGTGGTGAATATTAATGATTTTTGGAGCAGAAATATAACGGAATAAACAGCCGAGATATACGGTAGTAAACTCCGAAAAATTCGCTAGCTCGTGTAAAAGAAATCGAAGCCAGATGACCAAGCCTTTGAGATTATAAAATGTTGGTCCTTTGGAAGGGCCTTGAGAAGGGACCCTAAAAATCCAAGGAAATATTCGAACTGGATAAATCTAAAATGATAATTATACTATTCGTGAATGGAGGTCCCGTGTTCGATCCAAGTGTTCGCCGGGATTTTCCAGCGTTGTTCCACCTTGTCAGTGGTGCAGGACAGTCTAGCAAGGTACACCGTATAGTCGTTCGGATGGGACCAAAAACGGGGTCCCATGTACACATGGGCGTGCACGTAAAATATCCCTTGGTAGTTGGAATTCGTTGTTAGAGTAGGTGGCAGTGCCACTGGCCGGGCAAACATTTCCCTCATAGCACCCTGTATGACTTATGTCCGTTTTCATTAGCTCAGACGGTGCAGAGTAGTATAAGGAAGTTTACCCCATTTAATTTCATTTCATGTCTTTTATACTCTACCTCTTGTTTGACTCCATATTCTATAATACAATATTATAATTGTAATATCTACGCCTAATAAATCCAATAATTAGCCCTTGAAAAGGGTAATGTAATCTGCGAACAATTTCATTTAAATAATTGACAAAGATGAAATAATTTAATTACTTCGTTTCGCTTCTTTAACTCTGCGATCCGATTATCTAGAAAATTAATAAAACGAAACGAAATGCAAGCAATGCCCCTTTACTGCTTACGAAAAGAGAATAACTTCATTGTGTTTAATCATATAATAATTGATGTCCTTTGATTTAATGAAAAATTCATTATAATTAATGTCAAGATTAACCAGGTGGTCCCGGGTTTGCCGAGAAAGTACCTTGGGATTGTTGCAGGGTGGAAGATCTGGAAAGGAACACTGTCTAGTCGATCAGATGGTGTCAAAAACTGAAGCCCCGTTTACACGTTGGCGTGCGCGTATACGAAAATGAAATGAAATAAAATGGTGTTTAACGTCCTACTGTTATGCTCCGAACTTGGCTAATGAAGACGGGCATACACCATACAGTGTGCTATGAGGGAAATCTTACCCGGACAGCGGCACTACGGTCTACTCTTAAATCGAATTCCAACTGTCAATGGATCTTTTACGTGCACGCCAATGTGTACACGGTACTTCGGGTTTTCGTACCATCCGAACGACTAGACAGCTGTCCCTGGCAGGCCCTCCGTCCTGCATCACTGACAAGGGGGAACCACGCCGTAAAATGTGGATGAACTTTCTCAGTCAATACAGAGATCGAACACCCGACCTCCAGGCTAGCGAGCCAGCGTCTTACCCACTTAGCCACCGCCCCCCCCCCCCCCCCCGCGCGTATAAGAACCGTTAACAGTTTTGAATTCGAAACTAGAGTTGGCCGTAGTACCGCTGTCCGGCAAAATATTCCGCATTGCACGCTGTATAGCGTATTCTCGTCTTCATTAGCCGACCGGTGCAGAAAACGCCACACTTTTCTGCGCCGAATGGGCTAATCCTTGTGAACTGTTTAAAAGATCGCATAACTAAAAAAGATTAACCTCAGAAATTATTTGACTTTTAGACGGATCAGTAAAAACTAGTTTAGTAACTTGATATATATACATTTGCGTGGTAAAAACTAGATAATGCTAATCGAAACGTCGCTCAATGACACAGTAATTGTATTCCATAAATTGTGTCATGTGATATAAATAGTCATGTAACCATAGAAATATGAAACTGCCGGAATTTTGTACTCTTGTTATTATATTTTATTACTAGATCTCGTTTACTAAAGACGTCAATATTGCGTAATAGTTAACCTTGATCTACTTTCGAGTATTTATATATCTTGCAGGGGTACATGTGTGTGGGGGGGGGGGGCTAAGTGAATAGGGCGCTGGATCGCTAAACAGTAAGTCTCGGGTTCGCTTCCGATGTTAGCCGAGAAAGTTGTTCGTGATTTTCCGCCGTAGTTTCCTAATGTCGGTACCAAGAGCCTGGCAAGGAGCCGTGTCTAGTCGTTCGGAGGGGATACAATTGTTCCCCATTCAGATGAAACTTAAAACAAGTAGTTAAAGATCAAAAGATCTTGAATGAGAGGACGAGCCCTGTTGATTTTACCTCTTCCCGGTACATTCTTGCAAAATGTGCGCGTATCTTGCTTTGATCTGGTCATAAATGATAGCAGTGGATTATTTGATGGATAAGGGGCCCCAAGGAAAGAGTGTGAGAAAAACTCTATCCCGTCGTATTTTTTCATAATTACATAGATACAACGGACGGAATTGAGATGGGTTTGAAATAAAGATAGGCTGTTCAGTTAAACATACATTATGCAAGAGCAAAATCGGCCTATTGTAGGTCTTTCTTTAGGCCTGAAATGTTATAAATACTATTAATTAGACATTAATTAACTTATCCAGACCATAATCAGCCCTCGATGTCAAGGCTTGCCTGCGATATTTGTTGGATTACAGTCCGATTTGCTGCAAAACTTTCCTTCGTGATTAACGATTAAATGGATAATCAAGACTATTAGTTTTGTCTTATCGACTTCAGTAATGATGATCGAGGCTAAGCGGAACTTTCATCCGCTTAGTTTTCGGTTCATAGTAGATCAATTTGACTGACATTTTCAGCAAGTTGCCTTTACATTATGTAGTTTTTAACTATTATATTATAGCAAACTGCATGACGCATACAGGAAAGTAGGCCGTTAAACCCAATTTCAGGTCATTTAGAAGCATATGCGAAATCGAGTGTTCTAAAGACGGAATATGAAAAATAATTGAGCTCCGAATGTAATAGCTGGGCAGCAACGCGGGAGAAATAATATATGTTCTTGTGCAAAACAACTGTGGATGCATTTCTTTGATATTTGAATCCGAGCCATAAAGATATACAATGTTATTGCACAGCTCATAAACACATTTGTCTTAAGACTGACACATCGGTGTCACCTGTCACTGCTTTAACTGACATGTCATATATTCTATTGATGTTGCCGATTATAACTAAAACGGGTGTCAATTATTTGACATATATTATACATTTCCATGGAAACATATCCACCGGTGACCCCAAATTTCTACATTTTATATCGGTCACCTTATAAGATATGCAAAATATGTAAATGACGAATGACATTGTTTTAGATTGCGACCTACCTGTAAAATTGAACTTTGACCTGAACAATGACAAGAGTAACTTACAATAAGAA